TGAGACAGTACAAAATCAGCAAGGGTGATCATATGACAACATGGCCGTTTCACCTGTGTGGCACCGAGAGCCAGAGCGCTCTCTGGATCATTTCGCTTGTGGTTTTGATCATGTCTGGCCAGGCGGGTGTGGTATCAGGTACCTACAACCCCAGCTACTTGGGAGGCTGAGACAGGAGAATTGCTTGAACCCGGGAAGCGGAGGTTACAGTGAGCTGAGATCGCGCCACTGCACTCCAGCCTGGCGACAGAGCCAGACTCTGTCTAAAAAAAAAAAAAAGAAAAAAGAAAAGGCAAGAAGCTCTTCAGGTGACCATGATGGACAAAGTAAGAAGACAGGTGCCTGGCTTCTAACGGAACATTGCAAACTATGCAGTGGTGGGTAACTTGGCAGTCTAGAGTGGCACTCTATAGCTTTACCATGCAATCACACACAGGATATAATACTTTTCCTGTGCTCCAAGGTAAATGGAGGAGGTTGCCTGAGCTGGAGGAGGCAGCCATGGGCCCCGGAGGCCTCCTGAGAGCTGAGGAGGTGGTGTCTGGAGGCTGTTCAGAGGCTGTAGTCTGGCATGTGGGCCCCTTGTGGTGGGGGGATGAATGCTGAGCCCACATCTGATGGACTCAGTGTTCTTTTTCTCTTTTTCTTTTTCTTTTTTTTTTTGGAGATTGGGTCTCATGCTGTCACCCAGGCTGGATTGCAATGGCGCGATCTTGGCTCACTGCAACCTCTGCCTCCTGGGTTCAAGTAATTCTCCTGCCTCAGTCTCCTGAGTAGCTGGGACTTACAGCTGTACGCCACCACACCTGGCTAATTTTTGTATTTTCTTTAGTAGAAACAGGGCTTCCCCGTGTTGGCCAGACTGGTCTCAAACTCCTGACCTCAGCTGATCCACCCACCTTGGCCTCCCAAAGTGCTGGGACTATAGGCGTAAGCCACTGTGCCTGGCCTCAGTGTCATATTATTAAATATACGTATTATATGGTATCAGGTACCTACAACCCCAGCTACTTGGGAGGCTGAGACAGGAGAATTGCTTGAACCCGGGAAGCGGAGGTTACAGTGAGCTGAGATCGTGCCACTGCACTCCAGCCTGGCGACAGAGCCAGACTCTGTCTAAAAAAAAAAAAAGAAAAAAGAAAAGGCAAGAAGCTCTTCAGGTGACCATGATGGACAAAGTAAGAAGACAGGTGCCTGGCTTCTAACGGAACATTGCAAACTGTGCAGTGGTGGGTAATTGACAGTCTAGAGTGGCACTCTATAGCTTTACCATGCAATCACACACAGGATATAATACTTTTCCTGTGCTCAAGGTAAATGGAGGAGGTTGCCTGAGCTGGAGGAGGCAGCCATGGGCCCCGGAGGCCTCCTGAGAGCTGAGAAGGTGGTGTCTGGAGGCTGTTCAGAGGCTGTAGTCTGGCATGTGGGCCCCTTGTGGTGGGGGCATGAACGCTGAACCCACATCTGATGGGCTCAGTGTTCTTTTTCTCTTTTTCTTTTTCTTTTTGTTTTGGAGATTGGGTCTCATGCTGTCACCCAGGCTGGATTGCAATGGCGCGATCTTGGCTCACTGCAACCTCCGCCTCCTGGGTTCAAGTAATTCTCCTGCCTCAGTCTCCTGAGTAGCTGGGACTTACAGCTGTACGCCACCACACCTGGCTAATTTTTGTATTTTCTTTAGTAGAAACAGGGCTTCCCCGTGTTGGCCAGACTGGTCTCAAACTCCTGACCTCAGCTGATCCACCCACCTTGGCCTCCCAAAGTGCTGGGACTATAGGCGTAAGCCACTGTGCCTGGCCTCAGTGTCATATTATTAAATATACGTATTATATACATTAACAATATTTTTTAGCTTTGCCTTTATTGTGGTTTTAATGAAATGGTCTCTAGTGTTTTGCTTTCAGGTGTGATATTGCCTATTGATTTGCCAGTATCTTCTTCAGGTTCATTAATACCATTCGTTCTCTGGTTTATTAATTATTGTTATGTGGGCTCAATGGGCTCAGTGCTCCTCCACGCCCAGGGGGCCTGTGGAGAGAGAATGCTGCCAGGTTTTCTGCTCGTTAGCTCTGAGACAGTACAAAATCAGCAAGGGTGATCATATGACAACATGGCCGTTTCACCTGTGTGGCACCGAGAGCCAGAGCGCTCTCTGGATCATTTCGTTTGTGGTTTTGATCATGTCTGGCCAGGTCTGACTGGATTACCAGGCATGTGAACGCTGGGCGGGAGAAAATACGTCCTGCCCTTCTGTGGAAAGACCTTGGAGAAATGTGGTTTTGGTGTCTTCTCCAGCCCCTGGCCACCTCCTCAGGAGCTGAACATGCTTTTGTCTTGCAGGGATGGTGCCCCGTACTGTGAAAAGGACTACCAGGGACTCTTTGGGGTGAAATGTGAGGCATGTCACCAGTTTATCACAGGGAAAGTCCTGGAGGTAAGTGGCAGACCGGCTCCCTCACAGCGACCGCCATCTTCCTCAGCGGCCCTTAGAAACACACAAGACGGGGACCCTTTCCCGCCTCCTCCATTTTTTTTTACCTGTGGAGAAAGAAAATAGTCGCAGGTGACTGTCTTTGGGAATTACGGTGCTGCACTCTCCTCAAAGGCTCACGTGGAAATTAGAATGATGGAGAATTTGCAAAGGAAAAAAAAAAAAAAGAATGATAAAGGTTCTGGTGGGAGTTATATAGGAGAGGCTATATTAGACCATTTTCATTTTTAGAAGTTAGACAAGAGGAAATGAAGAGGATGCGAAATCGTGTGTATACATCCGTGTGTGCGTGTGTGCATATGTGTATGCGTGCCTTTCTGGGCGTGTGCAGATTCAGGAAGCAGAGGCTCAGAATGGAAGCTAAGAAAGGAAGGGTGGGGGAAAGGTAGAGGCATTGGCTTCCCCAGCCTTCAAAAACCACATCCTGTGTGACCCAGAGCACCCTGTAGCCGGGGCTGAGCTGAAGCCTGTCAAGTTCAGGTGCCACCGCCTCCAGCTGGGGAGCTTTCTTCCTGCTTTCTCAGCAGCTGCCACACAGGCTTCTGCCTCTGGGCTGAGCCAGTTCCTCTGGGGTGAGACACAGAATTCTGGGGCCAGAGTTCAGAAGGAGTCGCTACCCTACTTCTCCCAGGCCTGTGGGGTGTCAGCCAGGTCCAAGGAGAAAGTAAGACTGCCTCACCCATGGCCCACCTGCCAGGGTGGAGAGTATGACCCAAGCAGAGGTGGATCAGGAAGCCTCACAACTAGGGGGATGACTACAGGTCCTGCAGCTTGTCACCGTGCTTAGTCAGGCACCAGGCTGCTGAATCCGCAGAGCCATGTTCCACCTTCCCAGCAGGGCACGTTTCAGAGACCCAGACACAGATCCAAGGCACCCCCACCAGGGTGTTTCTGGGCTGCACTGTCTCTTCCGTGGGTTTCGCAGCAAAGGTCCAGCGTGGCCCCCTAAATCCCACTGTAAGCCCTTTCCACAAAGCACAGAGGGGCCAGCATTGGCTGTGTGCTGGGACCTGGACAGCTGATTGCACTTGGGAGAGAAGGGTGTGATTGTGGTCAAATGCAGTTGCCTCTTAGCCCGAGGAAGAGGGTTCTGGGAAGAGGGAGCAACACCTGCAGGGGCGCAGAGGTGAGGAAAAGCACAGCATACATAAGAAACATCAGTTGGGCAGGAGCACGGATGTGACAGATGATGCTGGAGAAGTGGGCAGGGTCCCAAGAGTGACATTCTGGAGTTTGGGTGTTACCCTAAAAGCGGTGGGAAGCCATTGAACTGCTTGTAGCTGGAGTGTCATGTGATTAGACCAGGTTGTTATGTAAAGAACATATGAGAGTTCTCAAATCTATGTACACACATGTTCACAGCAGCACTATTCACATCAGCCGAAAGGTAGAAACAACCCAAAGTCCATCAGCAGGTGAATGGATAACAACACGTGGTGTATCCGTCTAGTGGAATATCATCCAGCCTTGCAGCAGTGCTGCCTACCACAGGATGAGCCTTTAGAACACACTAAGTCAAAGAAACCAGCCACAAAAGGCCACATATTATATGATGTGGTTTACATAAAATATCTAGAATAGGTAAATCCATACAGATAGAAAGCAGATTGGTAGTTGCCAAGGGCTGGGGGAAGGGGAAATAGGAAATTACTGCTTTACGGATACAGGATTTCCTTTTGGGGTGATAAAAATATTTTGGAATTAGATAGAGGAGGTGGTTGCATAGCATTGTGAATGAATGTACTAAGTGCCACTGAATTGTTCACTTTAAAATGGTTAATTTTATGGTACGTGCATTTCAGCTCAGATTTTTTTTTAAATGACTGGGAAGGGAGTTGAGGTGGAGACAGAACAGCTAGGAGGCTACTACAGAACTCTGGGCACAAAACGATGGTGGCGCTGGCTGGAGTGGAGCCTGAGAAATGGGCCCCCACCCTCTGCACACACAGGAAGGGTGGAAAGAGTTCTCTCGTAGCCTTTCCAATAAAGCTTTATTGACCCAAGGGCACTTCAAAACTAGTGTCTTGACTAGGGAGAAAGAAGCATATCCCCAGGAAGGCTGTTGGAGAAGATGGATGGGACCCACCTGAAGGGGAGCTTGGAGTCCGAGCAGTCCCATCACAGTGCTCAGAGCATGATGCAGTGGTTGGTGCCTCCCCTCCTGGCCCTGAGTCCATCCCTCATCCCTCCCGAGAGAGCTCTTCTCAGAAGTGCCCTGACTGGGGCCTGACACCATTTCCCATGATGTCATTCCTGAGTTTGATCTCTTGTGGAGGACTGAAATAAACCTGTTGAGTTGGGAGCAACTTGGAAATTTCCTTCTCCTCCTCCTCCTCCTTTCTTCTTCTTCTTTCTTCTTTTTCTTCTTCTTCTTCCTCCTTCCTCCTTCTCCTTCTCCTTCTCCTCCCTCCTCTTCCCTCCTCCTCCCTTCTCACTTCTCCCTCCTCCTTCCTCCGTTCTTCCTTCTAACTTCTTTCTTCTTTCTTCCTTCTTCCTTCTTTGTTGTCGTCATCTTCTTTTCTTTTCTTTTTTTATTTTTTTTAAGAGACAGGGTTTTGCTCTGTTGCCCAGGCTGGAGTGCAGTGGTACAATCATACCTCACTGCAACTTTGAACTCCTGCTCAAGCTATCCTCCTGCCACAGCTCCCTGAGTAGCTGGGACTACAGGTGCATGCCATCACACCCACCTAATTTTGTTATTTTTTGTAAAGCATGGGAGTCTCATTCTGTTGTCCAGACTGCTCTCTAACTCCTGGTCTCAGGCAGTCCTCTCGCCTCAGCCTCCCAAAGTGCTGAGATTACAGGCATGAGCAACCAAGCCTGGCCCTCATAAAAAAGAAAAAGAAAAGAAAAGAAAAGAAAAAAAAAAAAACAATGGAACATCAGAATGATTTCCCAGATGTCCAGCTGTACAAAGAGAGGCGAGAAAACACTGAACGCGATCCCCACATTTGTGACAGCCATGTTTGCAGTCTTCTTAGTCCACATGTGGAGCTGTGTTCCCCCAAAACATGTTGGGGGTGGAAAAGGGCTCTGTGTGTGTGTGTCTGAGTGTGTGTGTGTGTGTGTGTGTGTGTGTGTGTGTACGCGCGCGCGCGCGTTGATACCCTTCAGATTTAGCTCGACAGCTGTGGGGAAGAAAATCTAAAATAAAGCTAGATCCAAGAACATGCCATTTGGAAGAAACATCTGCTCACTCTGTTTTCTCCTTCAAGACCTGAGTCATTTGGCTTTCCCTGTGGCTGCAGAGGCCTCTTCTCAAATTGGCTTCAGGTTTCTGTGAAGGCCGTTTTGTGAGGCTTAAGACTTGGAGACTTTCCATTTGGGGCTTTCAGAGTTGAGACGTCTGGGAGTAGTTTGCACCATGTTCAGCCTCAGATTCAGAATCCATCCAGCAGATGTAGTCCTCAGATGGGCGTGTGAGCTAGAAAAATGTCCTGCAGGGTTATCACGCTGACGTGTGACAGCTTGTGAGTCAGTTTGGCTTGGTTACCAACACAAAGCAGGGCGGTCTCCACACACTCCTCCCTCGGCCTCTCACGCTTGGGTCTTGGTGGTGGGGAAATTTTATGATGGTGGTACATCTTGCTATAAATGGTACATTTTGTAAATACTGTGAACCTTGGGTTTTTGTGGTTTTTTATATTTATTTTATCCACAGATAAATTTATTTTATCCCTTTACAAATGTATTAGTTTTCTGTGTCAGCTGCAGCAGCAGTGGCTTAAAACAACAAGCTTACACAGCTCTTGAGGTTCTTGAGGTTAGTTCTTAAACTGAGTTTTCTCGGTTCTTGAGGTGAGACGTCTGCAAGCAAGGTGCGGCAGGGCCATGCTGTCTCTGAAGGCTCTGGGGAAGGGCCTTTCCTCGTCTCTCCCAGTTTCTGATGGCTCTGCATGTTCCTTAGCTTCTGGCAGCCTCCCAGTCTCTGGCTTTGTCTTCACATGGCCGCCTATTCCGTGTTGTCTCCTTTTCTCTGTTACAGTTCCCTCTGCCTCTTTCCTGTAAAGGCACTTGTCGTTGGATTCAGGGCCCACCCAGATAATCCAAGATGACCTCCCCATCTCAAGATCCTTCACTTAGTTACATCTACAAAGACCCTTCTCCCAAATAAGCGTTCACAGGTTCCATGGATTTGATAGGGAGTCTCTTTTGGTGACGATCAGGTCACCATTCAACCTGCTCAAGTAAGCCTGGGAAATCACACAAATATCATCCCAGCGAGGCCTGCAGACCCTGTGTGGTTTTAATTTAACACTCACTGAGTTCTAAGAGGACCCACAGGCCTCTCTAGTGTGGTGTCACCAGAGATGCCATCAGACACCTGAGGGACCTTTGAGAAAGAGAAAGGTCACTGGACAATGATAGAGAAGAGATGCTCCAGGTCTGGCTGTGTCACTCATTCCTGAGTGACTTGGGGCAGGTTGTTCAGCCTCTTGGGGCTGTCTTTATTTTCCAGGTAAAGGGACTGGCATGTAACCTCCTAACAGCCCTTGAGTTCTCTGTCTCTGTCATTCCTTAATCCTTGTAAGCCCGGAAAATCACATCAGCTTGAAGGGGTGGGGAGGTGAGCCTGAGCACCAGCGGGTCAGTGAAAAGGCTCTGGGTGGCAGCCAATCTGAATCTGTACTCACCAGCTGGGGGTCCTTGGGCAAGAATTGCCACTTCTTTGAGCCTCAGTTTTCTTTTCTTTAAGTGCAAGAATTGAAAATATGCATGTAATTCCAAGACTTGGGCTGCTAGACCTCCTGGAGTCACTTCAGCTCTAAAGATCTGAGTTCTAGAATTCTCATGTCTTGGCTGTAAGGGATCAGACAGAGCCAATGGTTATTTTTTTCTGGAAACCAGCACGTAGCACTCAGCATAGAGCCTACACTCAAATTGTAGCTTGATTTCTCATCACTTGCTTTCAGTTTTGTTTTCGACAGCAAGATTCTCTTTTT